TGTTTCAAGTTTATTGTCTTGTCCAATGACATGTGTGAAATACATGAAATAGGATATTTATTTATAGGCGAAGGCCCTTCACTAACACCTGAAAAAGTAGATCCCGCCATTGAGAAGGTTGTGATATTGTTGCGGCCTATAGTGCAAGGTTTTGACAATGGCCTTGATTCGGATAGTATTGTAAAATGAGTGTACTTATTTTTTTGTTTCCATTCTGATTTTACATTATATTCTGTTTGCAGATGCTTATGGTACAACAGAAGGTGAAACCGAGGGAGGAACTAAGGATGAAACTCTCCTAATACCTGTATCAAACGATAATTTCTCCAATGTGGTAAGTACAATCTTGCACCAACAATAGACAAATTGTGATAAGTTGTAACGGTTCAAATTTTGATTATTATTACTCTACTAGGTTTCAGCAAGCACTTCTTCAGATTATGCAGTCACACTCTTAAGGTTGTTCGGGCTGCATTTTGTCCTTTAGGCCTTGGGAGCATTTCACGGTTGTTCTCTCGTGGTTGATTATTTCCAAGCGGTACAGGTAAGTATGCTTATTTCAAAATGGTAGATTACCGGACAGCCTTAAGACTCATCCAGGAAAACATGTTTTTGGCAACCATAGACATCAAAGATGCATATTTTGCAATACCCATAGAAGGAGCCTATAGAAAATATTTGATATTTTATCATAATCACATACAATACGAATTCACATGTTTACCATTTGGTTTGTCAATTGCACCACATTGTTGCACAAAACTAATGAGACCCGTTGTAGAATATATGAGGAAAAATGGTATTCTTTGTGTCAATTATTTGGATGATTTCTTTATCTTAGGGAAAACGGAAGAGGAATGCAGTAAAATTTTCTTTTTTACGCTATCAGTCCTTGAATACATATGATTTATTGTTAATTTTGAGAAAAGCTGTATTTACCCGTCCAAACACCAAACATTCCTACGTTTTATTTTTAACTCTGCAAAAATGACAATTGAAATTACAGAAGACAAAAAACTGAAAGTTCTACACACATTGCAGATCCTCAAAAACAGAAATAATTTAAAAATTATGGACGTAGATAAATTTATCGGGTCTCTAAGTTCTGCCTGCCCGGCAATAAAATATGGTTGGGTTTACACTAAATCACTAGAAAGAGATAAATGTTCAGCATAAGACAAAAATAACGGGTGCTACGACGCATCAATGCATCTCCTTCGTCAAAAATAATCTATTATGGTGGGAGAAAAATATTTTAACTGATATTAATAACAGACCAAATAAAGATATCTAACATCAATAAACTACAGCCATGCCTTCAAATACCATTATTTCTAGAAAACCCCTCTGTTTGTCCAGCTACCTCCGTTAAAAATATTTGAACCTCACTAGAGAATGGCGTAATTAAAAAAAAAAAACATCCTTTGTTTAGGGTCTGTCAACAACAAGAGGGCGACATTTTCATTTGAGTTGTTGTTGGAGAATGGCGGAAAAACAGGGCGAAAACTCAAATGATGGCACTCAGATTTAGATTACGAGCCTGAGGAGAAAATGGCGACAATGGCGGAAACTGGAACTCCAGTTGTTAACGGAGATGCTGGCGAGAGTCAAGGTGACAGGCGAGACCATAACTCACTATTACCATGATAAAATTACGTTGATTGAGAGGTGTGAACTGGTCGACACAAAGGCGTTATCGTGTCTGATTAGGGGACTGCTTCTGGATCTACAAGCGAATGCTAGGGCATTTCAGTGCTCTACTACTGGTGAACTGTATACTGGTTTCTTCTCTTCTTTTGACAGGTATCAACAAACTTCAACCAGTGGCGGCAATGGCGACCTGAAGAAGCAAGTGACGTGGCAGGTACCTTCCAAAGTGACGAGGCGACTAGAGAGGGAGGCATCAACGGCGAAAGCGGGGATCAGCTGCTATAATTACCACGAGGTGGGCAATCACATGAGCAAGGATTGTCCCAAGCCCAAGGCGGAGAGGTGCATGCGGTGTGACAAAACAAGGCATAATCGTTTCAGTTGACCCAGGCGAAGTGGAGTTGGCAATGGTTCCAAATCAGTTTGAAATTGGTATTAAAACAGTCCTCCATTATTTTTTGTGCGCAAGCAGTTCTGCCCACTCCCAGAACCGTTCGAAATTTTGAACCAAAGAAATTTGCGCCTGGTTGGGATCTAAGGTGTGTTTGGTAGTGGAATATCAATATTTCCTCTTTGTATTTTCATTATGTATAAAGTTTATTATCAGTAACGTTTAGAAGCATACGATTGCAAATAATAACCGAAAGTACCTAATGATTATCAAAGCCTCTACACAACTCCATTCTGATCTTCTCGTGATAGATCCTGTTGAGTCGATATTCCATTGACGAACTACGAGAACTAGGGGGAAATATTACTTCCATTTGTTTCTATAGAATATGGCTGAACAACAGGAGTTTGCATCGTTTTGGGAGGCGTTCATTGCCAACCGAATTCACGCTAGGACACGCTAGAGTGCAGAATAAACTTAACTCAATAAGAGGCCTAGTGGCAAAAACCATGATTGGTGCTTTTGTAACAACATCAACAGAGGCTGTCTCTGTTCTGGCAAATATCCCGCCCATAGACCTTATAATCATGGAGACACTAGACGTCAAAAAATACAAGGCGGGTCTGAACATCGACCAGGAAGACTTTGTTTTTGAAGCGCAACCTAGGCTCGGTAAGAAAAGGTTAAAGGAGAAACTCGAAGAGAGAACACTCTTGAGATGGCAAAGGATCTGGGACGAGTCCGACAAAGGAAGAGTCACTAAAAGAATGTTCCCTACTGTGATCGAGAGACAGACTTGCCACATTAAATTCAACAAGAAGGTTACCCAGATGCTTACTGGACACGGGCAACTAATGGTGCATTATAAAAGAATTGGACAGTCGATGGTGGACACTTGCAACTTCTGCGACATGAATGAGGCTGAAGACCAGTTACATAGGCTATACAGCTGTCCCGAACACACTGAGGCACGCAGAAGGATATTGGACCTAATGGATGTTGGATATAACAATTGGCTTCTAATGGAGAATAATATGGCTCCGGTGTTCCAGGGCAACTTGGACAATGTGGAACCTGCGCTGCTGCTAAAATACTTGATTGCTGAGGACGCTTTAGATCTGCTTGGGAACATGGTTACCGCCGAATTGCGCGTCGCTCCGCGCTGACTGTAACAGAGGACATTTTTATTTGAGGACTAGGTTGTGTAGGGAATTATTGTAACGATCAGTTGAATGAATAAAAAAATTATTTTACAAAGCATAGTTAATGTTAACCATGAGATTTAACATTTAACAAGTTAGCCCATTAATAAAAAAACTAAAATTTGGATATTAGGTATAATCAGTGCACTTCAAAATACTTCAATGCTAAATTAGTTCTTCCAGTTTTTATTTATTTTTACTTAATTTCAGACGCAATCAGGAAAAATTTTGCAGTCTTAACAGATGCAGATTTTGAAACAGCTGTGATGGACGGACTTCGCCAGGCCACTCTTCGTTTTGCAGGGCATCAAGTGGATAACATTCAAATGATGTTTTGTCCGAAACAAAATATTTTTTCGATAAATACACAAATTATTTTTTTAACTTAAAAGGTTCGTGTTTTATTCAAAATTAAAGTTCTATCACTGCTATTAATACACCCTATATATTTTGCTGATGCAATTAAATGTGCTAAAATGTGCATCTTCAAATCGCATCGTTGCTTAAATTTCACTTTACAAGTGTCACATTCAAAGGTATCGATATCTGAGTGTATTAACATGTGCATCTTCAAAATGCCTTTTCTTCTAAATTTGGCTTTGCAAATGTCACATTCAAAAGGATGAATATCTGAATGTGTCATTAAGTGACGTGTCAAATGATCTTTTCTTTTAAATTTTGCTTTGCAAGTGTCACATTCATAAGGATAAATATTCAAGTTTGTTAATATGGTGAGTCTTCGAAACGTCTTTTCGCTTAAATTTGTTTTTACAAGTGTTACATACAAAAGATGAATATCCGAATGTGTTGATATGTGCGTCTTCAAAGCGCCTTTTTGTTCAAATTTTGCTTTGCAAGTACTATATTCAGAAGGATGAATATCCGAATGTGATGTTATGTGATGTTTTAAATTTGATTTTATTCCAAACTCAGCATTTCAATTGAAGCTATTAGTGCATGAAGGTGTTAACTCAATTTTTAGCTGAAATCCCGAAAAATGGTATGTATGAAGGTGTTAATTCATTCTTTGCGTTAGTAAAGACTTTGGATCATAGATGTTGCCAGGTACCTTGAAAACTGAAGTTTAAATCGCGTTAACTCAAGTTTTGTCGCACTTATTTGGAGCAAGAAGGTGTTAACTCTTTATAATTGTGCAAGAAGGGGTTAACTACTGATTCAAAAATGAAAAAAAAAAAAAACATAAAAAATGATAAAAGTTGACTCGTAATATTAAATTTACATTTCTTGTCTGTGTTTTGACGCATCTTGATTTTAATTTTAGTTTAAACAGAAAAAGCTCCAACAATTTTACTTTAACCCTAAATATTTCAGAATTGTTAAAAAGTGACTTAACACCTTCATGCACTAATAGCTTCAATTGTAACATTGAAATTTCCTGATAACATCTGCTGTTGATGAATTGGCGTCAAAGAATTGAGTTGTTTATATATCTCACAACAACAAGAAGGCGATTCAGTGGAATCTGCTTCATTAGACGGCTCAGAGAAACCTGCAGAAAGCTTCACTCTCTGGACTGACCACCATAAATTGGTCCATAAAAACTGGAAAGATAATAAAACAGGCGACAACTTTTCAGATGAAATTTCCAAATGCCAAAGATAGCCTGCGGCTTAGACCGCACAAATTATCAAGTTATCCGCTGCATGCTGCCAATGAAAATCAGTTCACAGTCCCGTATGCTTTATTTTGTTTTCACCATGAGATTTCTTTTCATTCTTTTAGTCGGTTTAAACTTGATGTCTCACTGCCTCGCAAGAGATAGAGACCTAATTTTTAATTCAGAGTATGGAATAATACTTGAAAAAATTGGAGTATCCTACATTCATTATGGTCATATCTACATTCCTATAACTTTCTCTTTACCTCAAGAAATAAATATTCAAACATCATATAATATAGATCACACAGCTCATTGTGATTATCAGAAGTCAATCAATGATAGAATAACAGTAATTAATGATTTCTTGAAATATATTGTACCAAATAAAATGTATTCATCTTACAAACCAAATGCAGATTCCTCTCTCCGTAATCCTCGGAATAAAAGATTAATTCCATTTGCTGCGCTAGGTGCTAGCACATTATCTTTAGGAGTATCTGCATGGAATCGTTATGATATCTCAGGCATTAAAGACAAGATTTCAGAAATAGAGAAACATAATAACTTAATAAATAATAAAATATCTCAAATAGTGATGTACTCCAATACAATTATCTCCGAATTCAACAAAGTGCATCATATAGTGAGCGAGCACACAAATTCGATCAATAAGATTATAGAGGGGTTAAATTGCACATCTCAATCTCTTTATGAGTTAGATACATTTCTATCATCATGGGCTAATTATGTACCAATGGAATTTATAAGGGCTTTAGATTTTGCATTTTTAGGGAAAATTGTTCCTGATCTCATACCATATAGCTCTTTGATTAAAATACTTATAAATACTAAAGAACTTAGCTCTGGCCCTTACATGATGGATCCAACTTTGGCGTACCAATTAGGTGATTTTTTATTATTAGATATAAACACAGCACCGTATAGCATAATAGGAATTATGGTATTGCCACATTTGTTATCCTCATCAGTTGGCGATCTATATCAAGTTGGTACAGTATCCTGGAAGAACGGATCATATATGCATAAATTCCACTTACCATCTATTATCTCACACATTCCAAATAAGGGCGGTTTTTGGTATCCTGATCCTGTTGATTGTGTGAACTATCCGTTTTACACTATTTGTCCAAATAATATTATGACTATAACAGAAGATTATTGTCTAACAAATATCATGTTGATGAATAATACTAATGATTGTAGTATAACAACTAAAAAGTATAATGATGAGGATAGGATAGATATTTACCAAATGAGATCTGGGCTTCTTATTGGATCAAGCGATGAGGTGGTAACAATATTCCGAAATGCAGATCATGAGGTATCAACGAAAATGCACTTGTTAGAAAATGCCACGATTTTTCTTACCCCGGATATGGGAGAATCTTTAATATATAAAAATGACTTGTATAGCATAGGAATACACCATGATCCAGTAAAAATCACCACCTTTAATGTTAGTTTCAATTATTATCACCATGATGATCTTGTTAAAATGAAAGAAGACACATGGGTAGATATATCAACTCTACCAGAAGAGGACTCTTATAGTGATATCCAAAATGGGCATTCTGCTTTGATAGCTACTACTATGGTACTGACTATAATTTCCATTGTTGGTGTGTATATCTTATTGATGAAGTATAAACTATACGAAAGAGTGCTGGCAGCCATCATTGATGATAGAAAGGATGATACCCTGATGCCAATCTCTCAGGGTGCATGATATTTGATCAACTATTATGTAGTTTTTATGCTTTTATTGTCCTTTATATAGTATAGCCTCATGATTCGATTATGTTCGCTATCAAGGTAACATAGTATATATACATGTAGTATATATACATGCCTTCGTTTTCCGCCAGTGGTCTAAATATACTGATATGCAGTAATTAAATGTTCCTTTTCCTTTTCCCTTTTCTATCAATAACTTACATCTTTCCGCGCTCACTTCTTAATGCGTTGGGGTTCTGATGCGAATCAGACCTATTTCTGGTTTCAAATTCTAATACATTTTTATTGACCTCATGTCCACACCAACACAATTTTCTAAATATAACTTCATTGTATTCCAACCCAACAGTCGAAAAGGTTCGCATGGGATCTAAGGTTGTGTATGCGTCTCTATTTATGCAATTATCAGGAAAAAATATTTATTCATATTTAAAACTGGCTACTTAGTTGGCAACCTCCAAAAACCGAGGCGTTGTGTTTTGGCGGGTGGATTTTTGGGTGTGGCGTGTGTTTGTGTTGTGTGGCAAATCCGAAAAAAAATCAGAGTAAGGCGTTATTTCTGTATTGTTTTCGTATTTATGTACCTTTTTATTGGCGTAAGCATTGATTGGCGAAAATAATTGTCTTTGGCGAACGGCGTAATTATTTTTAAAAAAACCCATCCTTTGTTCAGGGTCTCTCAACACCAAGAAGGCGCCATTTTTATTTGGGTTGTTGTTGGAGAATGGCGGAAAAACAGGGCGAAAACTCAAATGATGGCGACCACTCAGATTTGGATTACGAGCCTGAGGAGAAAATGGCGACAATGGCGGAAACTGGAACTCCAGATCCAGCATATGTGTTGGAAACCATGTTGAAAAGCGGCTTGGCGAAAATCATCCAGCAAATAGTGGCTAAGGAGGCTGCCAAGGTGTTGCGGCAGGCTCGTGAGACATAGGCGAGAGAGATAAAGCGAGGCAGTTCCACAGGCGTCAGGATCTGGCACCTAGACGAAGCGTGTCAGGTCAAACTCGTCATGCAGTTCGGGTTGTTTGGGGGCAAGGGCGGATAGAAAGATGATCGAGCTTTTTGATCCAGAGAGCCGGGACTGTAATGTGGTTCGTTGGTTGAACAAAATTGATCAACTTGGTGAGATTCATGGCTGGACAGAGCATGAACGGGCCTACTTCATGCAGGCTAAGTTGCAAGGCGCTGTGAGAGCCTGGTTTAACAGGTTGGACGGTTACAATTTGTCATGGCAGGCGTGGAAGGTGTCCCTTAGCAAGACGTTTCCTAGGGAGCACGGCTACGCCGAGTTGTTAACCGAAATGCTGGCGAGAATCAACGTGACAGGCGAGACCATGACTCACTATTACCATGATAAAATGGCGTTGATTGAGAGGTGTGAACTGGTCGACACAAAGGCGTTATCGTGTCTGATTAGGGGACTGCTGCTGGATCTACAAGCTAGGGCATTTCAGTGCTCTACTACTGGCGAACTGTATACTGGTTTCCTCTCTTCTTTTAACAGTTCTGAACATACTTCAACCAATGGCGGCAATGGCGACCTGAAGAAACAAGTGACGTGGCAGGTACCTTCCAAAGTGACGAGGCGACCAGAGAGGGAGGCATCAACGGCGAAAGCGGGGATCCGATGCTATAATTCCAGGAGGTGGGCAATCACATGAGCAAGGATTGTCCCAAGCCCAAGGCGGAGAGGTGTATGCGGTATGGCAAAACAGGGCATGATCGTTTCAGTTGTTCCAGGCGAAGTGGAGTTGGCAATGGTTCCGAATCGGTTCAGAATTGGTATTAAAACAGTCCTCCATTATTTTTTGTGCGCAAACAGTTCTGCGCACTCCCAGAACCGTTCCAAATTTCGAACCAAAGAAATTTGCGCTCGGTTGGAATCTAAGGTGTGTTTGGTAGTGGAATATCAATATTTTCTCTTTGTATTTTTATTATGTATAAAGTTTATTATCAGTAACGTTCAGAAGCATACGATTACAAATAATAACCGAAAGTACCTAATGATTATCAAAGCCTCTACACAACTCCATTCTGATCTTCTCGTGATAGATCCTGTTGAGTCGTTCCATTGGAACTACGAGAGCTAGGGGGAAATATTACTTCCATTTGTTTTTATAGAATATGGCTGAACAATAGGAGTTTGCATCGTTTTGGGAGGCGTTCATTGCCAACCGAATTCACGTGTCCATGGAGGAGGTCAAGGGTGACCTATTTGCTCACTTAGCAAAAGATGGATACATGATGGCGCACTGCATTTCCCTAGACTTTAAAATGTCATAGGGAATTCCATTGACAGTGCGGTAAGCGGCAACCGAATTCTATTATATTAACTTTGTTTTTTTTCTGCGAGACAGATGAGTATCCGGTTAATTTTTTTTTTATCTTTCCAGGCAAAGGTTTGGTGCTCTCCCAGAACATTTGAGGACAAGAGAAAGAGTGGGGTCCTGCAGAGTTCAGTTTGTTGGAAATAATCCATAGATCCTACATTTAATACCAAAACACGCTTTCTGGCAAAAGCCGACATATTTTTATATATGGCAGGTATTGACGGATATGCGTAAGCGTATTGTACGATATGGGATTACTAAATTGGTAATGCCAAAGATAGCCTGCGGCTTAGACCGCAAAAATTTATCCGCTGCATGATTGCCTTCGTTTTCTGCCAATGCCATGATCTAAATATACTGCAGTAATTAAATGTTCCTTTTCCTTTTCCCTTTTCTATCAATAACTTACATCTCTCCGTTCTCACTTCTTAATGTGTTGGTGTTCTAATCTGATGCGAACCAGACGTATTTCTGCTCTTAAATTCCAAAACATTGCGAAGGCGGTGGACACGGTCAATCTGCGGTGGAGGATGAAGCAGCATCTATGGTGGCGAAGCTGTTAAAAGGCAGTTTGGCAAGTAGCATACAGCAGATTGTGGCGGCCGAAATAGCAAAGACGGCCAAACAAAAGGCGGCTGATGGTACTGGCGGTACCAAAGCCAAGAAAGGCAATAAAACAGGTGAGAGTGTTCCTGGGGCGGTAGAGGGTGCCTATGGCGGACTCCACGTGCAGTTCAGGTTGCATCGGATTGAGGGCCAGAGCAACCGGCGATCTCATTAGACCCTTTGAACCTGATAGCCAGGTGTGTAACGTGGTTAAATGGTTGCATAATATTGACCAACTTGGCGATATCGATGGCTGGACAAACTATAATATGGCTCACTTTATGCAGGCAAAATTGCAAGGCGCTTCAAGAGGGTGGATCAACCGGCTGGACAAGTATGACCTCTTATGGGATGACTGGAAGACAGCTCTTCAAAAGGCGTTTCCTAGGGAGCATGACTTCGTACAGCTAATCAGGGAAATGCTGGCAAGATTTAAATTAAATTGACGAACTACGAGAGCTAGGGGGAAATATTACTTCCATTTATTATTATAGAATATGGCTGAACAACAGGAGTTTGCATCGTTTTGGGAGGCGTTCATTGCCAACCAAATTCACGTGTCCATGGAGGGGTGACCTATTTGCTCACTTAGCAAAAGATGGATACGTGATGGCGCACTACATTTCCCTAGACTTTAAAATGTCAAAGGTAATTGCATTGAGAGTGCGGTAAGCGGCAACCGAATTCTATTATTTTAATTTTTTTTTTTCACGAGACAGGTGGGTATCCGCTTAATTTTTTTAAATCTTTCCAGGCAAAGGTTTGGTGCTCCCCCAGAACATTTGATGACAGGTGCAAGAGTGGGGTCCTGCAGAGTTCAGTTTGTTGGAAATAATCCAAAGATCCTACATTTAATCACAAAAAATGCTTTTTGGTAGAAACCGACATATTTTTACATGGCAGGCATTGACGGATATGCCTGCGCATATTGTACGATATGGGATTACCAAATTCGTGAAGCCAAAGATAGCTTGCAGCTTAGACCGCAAAAACTATGAAGTGATCCGCTGCATGATTGCCTTCGTTTTCCGCCAATGCAATGATCTAAATATACTGATATGCAGTAATTAAATGTTGCTTCTCCTTTTCCTTTTTCTATCAATAACTTACATCTTTCCGCTATCACTTCTTAATGTGTTGGTGTTTTGATGCGAACGAGACCTATTTCTGCTTTTAAATTCTAATACATTTTTATTAACCTCATGTCCACACCAACACAATCTTCTAATACTGTATAACTTCATTGTATTCCAACCCAACAGTCGAAAAGGTTCGATTTTTTGAGACCATAAATTTTAAATAACAGTACAATGGCTGCTGAAGCATCAAAATCTACTCTAACTCTTTTGAAAACATTTGATGGAACGCCAACGCGTTTGGAAACTTCCATTAATCAAATTGATACATTTTATTTCAGATATTTTAATGCCGATGCATCTCAACAAGAATATGTAATTTTAGCGATAAAGTCGAAAATTATCCGCGCAGCTGAAGACTTTCTTTCAACAAGATCAAATTTACATATTTGGGGCGATATTGAAACTGCTCTTCAACAAAAGTTTACCGACCCAATAACTAGAGTAAATTCACAATAACAATTAATATTTTTGTCTAAAAGAAATGAATCGACTCAAGATTATATTCAAAAACTTAAAGCTTTAGTAACTTAGATTAATAATAAAATTTGTTCTGAAATTGCCAATATTGAAGCTCGTACAGTATTAATTGCACAAAATGAATTAACTGCAACTCAAAATCTTTCAGCAAATCTCTCTAGTGAGTTAAGAACCTTATTGATAGTTCAAAACCCACAAAATTTGGATAATGCAATTAATATAATCACTAATTATGAAATTTTGATAAGTCAAAATCATTTTAGAAATTAATATATGCAGAATCATGGATTATCTAAAAAGAATGTACAGAGAACCGAAAATCAATTCTAAAAACAAAAGCTTACTAGTCATTCTAATCAATATCAGAGTTCTTCTAAACAAACTCCAGCAAATCAATCAAGACCCTCAAATCAAACCTTTTTTAAATCACAAGGGCAATTTTCCAAGCAGCCAAATCAATCATTTTTCAAGCCACAAGCTCAAAATTCGGCTGAGAAAAATTTTCAACATTCCAAACCACAACAGCAATACCCACAGCCAGTGTCAGGTATGAGTATTCAACCACGAAAACCTGTCAGCCAAGTAAGACAACATCAACCTTACTTTAAATCCACAGGAAAACCCAATTACACATTTCAAGAATTTTCAAATTAATCAATTGCCATTCCTAGAAATTCCCAATTACAATATACGATTATTAATAGATACAGGATCACATGCATCATTGCTTAGACCATCCTTAGCTGAAACGTATTTTCCAGAATCAATCAAACTGTATGTTAGTACACTTCAAACATGCGCTGGTCCAAAAAAAGCTACTTGTAAAGCAAACATTCCACTATTTTTATGTTTCGAAATATCTGAACCAATTGAATTCATTTTATACCCTTTTCATGATTATTTCGACGGAATTTTGGGAATAAAAGATCTTTGTAAATTAAACCTAAATATCGACATTAAAAATCAACTACTTAAAAATCACTATTTGGAAATTCCCTCAAAAACTATTCAAAAGTCCACATTCAAAACAAATCCACCTAACAATACCACATGGATAATGCCATATTTCCGTGATGAT